GAGCCACCCCTAGCTGCGGGATGTGATGTGTCCAGCAGCTGTGGCCAGGGAGCAGTACCCACCCCACCGTGCAGAATTAGTGACCAGCTGCTGGTCTGCTCCAAAGCTGCCCCGCAGCCTGGCTGAGACCCACAGGCCGGTTGTGGCAACGTCCCCCCCGCTCACCTCACTGGCTGTAGAGTTGGCTGAACAAATGTTCCTCACAGGTCGGGGGGTCCTTCAGAACCTCTGGCTGCAGACCCCTTGGCTCCCACCCAGAGCCACCCTGGCCGTAGGACCAATTGGCTGCCCTAGGCCCTGCGCTTCCAGGGGCCCTGCAGTGGCCACCCCAACCAGCCTATGGCCAGAGAACAGCCTGGCAGCAGTGGGGCAGGGACCGGGCCTGGGGCTGTGCTGCAGCCCAGCATGTGCCAGCTGAAAGCTGCATGCCCCTGAGCAGCACCTGCCCTGGGGCTGTGCTGGGAGCAGCTGGCCCAGCCCTGAGCCTGCTGCCCTGGCACCTTCTGCACCTTGCCGGCACTGCTAGGAACGGCTCCCCTAGAGACAGACACTGCCCCGCCCCTACCCCTGACAGCTGGAAGGGCGGAGAATGCAGAGTGCACCCATACAGGCCACACGCCCTGGGGCTGCGAGAGCTGGTTGCTGGCTAGGATGGCCAAGGAGCAGCCTGTGGGGGGGGTGAACCAGTGAGCGGAGCAGGCGGGAGGGCAGCAGGGAGACAAGGCCGTTGGTGCTCGGCCCCCACCCACCTGGTGGCGGTGGAGGCTGAGCTGGTGCAGCCGATGCCCCGTGAACGGGCCCGACTGCCGGAGCTCCAGGTGCACGTGCTCCACCGTCGACTCATGCGGCATCTGGGGAGGCAGGCAAGTGTTTGCACAGCCCTGAGCTCCTTGGCTCCGCATGCCCTGCGCTGGGGCCCACCTAGGGACGCAGCCCCCCTGCCTTCGAACCCCTCCTCCCGCCCAGCTTTGGCAGCACCTCCGCCCACTACTGGGGCCTCCCACCAGGCAGGTCCATAAGGAGCCAGGTCCTGTGCCCGTGGCAGGCCTGGGAGCAGAGCTCAGTGCTTGAGCCACAAGGCCACGGTGGGGCCACACATGCCATGTAGCCAGGATCCCAGCTGGCCTGGCTTTGCAAAGGC